TTTTAAAAAAAATTTTATTGAATCAAAATTGATTATACATATTTTGGGGGTTCAACATTGAGATATGTTGACCAAATCAATATTACTAGCATATATATTGTTACAAACCATAATTACTCTTTATGCCCCTTGTCCAATCTCTCCAATCCCCCCTCCCTCCCCCCTCTAATTACCCTAGATTTCTTCTCTCCTGAAAGAATCATGGTTACTCTGTTGATTTGTTGCCTAGATGATCTGTCCAATGCTGAGAGGTGTGATCAGGTCCCCCAATACTATCGTAGAGCAGATGCTTCTTCTGTCACTCTGAAATGGGATTTCTGGAGACATCCTCTTTTCTTTATCTCTGCTGGTGACTCTCCTTGTGTCAATGCACTCCAGTGGCTGGCAGACCATCTGCATGGTGGTTTAGTGTCTAACGGTTTTCGTAACAGTGATGGTTATTGTGATGGCTGTGGTGGGGCACCCACACGGAGGTGATGTTTTTGGCATGCTACTTGGTGCTGGCAGTGTGCCTGGTTGTGGGGAGTGTCTGGTCCTCGGCTCCATGCCTCAGATCCCCAGGCAGGCCCTGAGGCACTGGCACAGTGTGCCTTGTTGTGGGAGGAGGGTCCAGTCCCCGTCTCCATTCCTAAGGTCCCCGGGCGGGCCCTGAGGCACTGGCATGGTGTGCCTCGTTGTGGGCAGGGGGTCCTGTCCCCGACTCCATGCCTCATGTCCCCTGGTGGGCCCCAAGGCACTGGTGGTGTTCCTGAGCCGGAACTAATCTTTTGTCCTTTGCTTACTTCTAACACAGGGGAACTTCCTGTGAGAACCAGTACTTGAGCTGTGTGATTGAGCTAAATTGCCACTTTGCTGCTGTTTCCCAATGGAAGGCTTTTTGCACAGCTCAGGGTTTAATAGTTGACATCATAGGTACTTCCAGCTCTCCAGAGACTTGGTGCACCTGGGCTGTGTAGAAACTCTGATCTGGCCCTGAGTTTTTTCATCAAACTGCATCCCATGCAATTCTGCATTCCTAACCAGTCTCCTCTGAGTGGTCCTGAGCTGACTGCTCGGCTGTCCATGCTCCACCTCAGTGTTTTCCCAGTGGGCTGGTCTCCTCCACCTCCCATGCTCCAAACATTTCCCATGGGACAGGCCCTGTGTTGGGCCCTTGCATTGACTCACTGGCCTCTGAATGGCTCCCCTTTTTCAGCTGTTATGGCTCCTCACTCCTGCATGGGTCCACGGGAACCCTATTAGTGGTCTTGCAGTCCTGGGGACCACCAAGGTCCTCTTCTCCCCTGCCGCCTCCAAGTAACTCCATCTGAAGGGCACAGCTGCGGCTTCTGCTAGCTCCTGCTCCATGTGCCCAGCAGCTCCAGACTTAAAGTGGCTGAAGGCCAGAATACTCAGAGCAGTTTTTTCTTTCTCTCATTGTGGCTTCTCCCCCTTCATGAACTCCATAGGTCTCTCCTCCTCTTCCCGTAAACTCCAGCGGCCCCAACTTGGCTGATGTTACATTTTTATAGTTGTAAATTGGTTGATTTGTCAGACAGAGTGACACTGGGGACCATCTATTCTACCATCTTGACCAGAACTCCCCTGTTGAGACTTTTTAAAAATATTTGTATGTAGTTAGAAAATGCAAACACTGAGGAAAAGTATAAAATGAAAAAAATAAGAACCTCCCTCCTCATTACCCTAGTCCTCCACCCAAAGATAAACCACTGTTTATGCTTTTCTGTCCTCCCAGAAAAAATAATGTAGGCATATATATAATCATTTATTTACTAAAATGAAGCATATTATGCACACTGTTTTGTAACATGCATTTTTCACTTATTAACATATCTTGGCACTGTGTCTATATCAGTACATGATGATTACAATGTACTTTTTGCTCTTACAAACAATGCTTCCATGAATATCTCTGCACCCACAGCTTAGTGTAACATGTATTTTCTTAATGTGACCCCACTAGAAAGTCAGCGCAGCAAGTACAAACTACTCGAAGCAATCTACACCAGCTGGGTGGTGAGAAGAGAACAATTTTCTTTCTGTGGTTTATTTCCTTCACAAAATTTCCTGAGACACTGTTATTTACACCAAATGGGTCTCAGGAACAGTTTGAGATGGCTACTGAGAAAATGACTGTTTTTTTCAGGTGAGAGGAAGGCAAACATTTCTGTTTGCTTCTGACTGTAAAGGCTCCTCTGGCAAAGCAGTAGTCCTGTCTTTGCCCACCTGGTATGCCAAACCTACCTCTGCTTACAGGAGTATACTGAATGTTCATGGCATGAATGGAATGTTTGTAGAACGGGGAAAATAAGCAAGCACTGGAGAGACATGCATGCAACAGTCAGTAAAAGTGCCAGATTGTGCCCTTCAGCCCACTCACGGAAGACCAACATGAAGCACAATATTCATAGTTGTCTGCCTAGAGCTACACAGGTAGAGCTGGGGTAAGAAAGTCACTACAGAGTCCACAGCTCGGAAATGTCAGTAATAATAAAACTATGTTACACCCTTGCATTTAGCTACCTCAACTCCCTTTTAATGATGGAGGACTTACATTACATTTTGAAATATTTTAACATAGTATTTTTCCAAATATTTGTTATATTCATGATCTCATTTGACCCACACATCAACTCTATTAGGCAGGTAGGCCAGTATCATTTTCCCTACTTAAAGATGATATGACCAAAGGGCAGAAACGTTAGATGACAATCAGTTAATCAAGTGTCCTGACTCTCAGAACTGTGCTCCCCTGAATTCTCCCAAGCCCACCTGACTCCAACAAGTCCAGTTTGCCAGTTTGAGAATCCTGAACAAAGAAAAAATAGGAATGAAGTTAGAGATGTACATATAAATATATCTCTTCCCAGGGACATCTGAGATCCTGAAAACTACTTCTTCCTAACAGAAATTTATTTATTTATTTATTTATTTATTTTATTTTAAAAGATGACTGGTAAAAGGATCTTAACCCTTGACTTGGTGTTGTCAGCACCACGCTCTCCCAAGTGAGCTAACCGGCCATCCTTATATAGGGATCCGAACCCTTGGCCTTGGTGTTATCAGTGAGCCACAGGCCAGCCCCTTAACAGAAATTTAGTAAATTGAATATCGATGTTGCTAAGTATCCACCACACTTAAATCTTGACAGAAGAATTATAATCCCTACTAGTTTTACAAAGACTTGGTGAAAATTTGGTTTTATGTTTTATTAAAAACACCTACACTATCTCAGCTTTTTAAAATCTGGTAGCGCTTAATTTTTATAGTTAAGACGTTGCCTTGGATAGTACTAGTGATTTGTCATTTGCATATCCAACACCTATTTTTTGAGTTGCCTTCTAGTCAGTCAGGACTGGCTTAGATGAATGTTTTTCAAACTTTTTTTGAGAAAGACCTACAGAAGAAATATATTTTACTTTGTAAATCATAGACATGTATCTGTCATTGAAACAAAAAGTCTCACAAATAATAACCACCCCTCCATAGTTGACTTAGTTGGATATTTTCCATGGTTTTACACTTTTCCACTTCAGTTTTAAAAATACTAATTATGGCCCTCTAGATTGATTTCATGACTCACAAATGGGTCATGACCCACAATCTGAAAAAACACTGCCTTAGATGAACAATACACAGATTCTGCCCTCAAGGAATTTATACATGAATTGGAAGTCTTATATGTACAAAGTTCACAGACAACTCGGCCTTAGAGGTCAAACAGTTCAATTACTACTCTGTAATTGCTTCTACAGCATTCCTGACAGAGTGATACACCTGAAAGCCTTTGCTTGACTATTTCTAGGACAAGAAGTTACCTCTTATTTGGAACCTAGCACACGGTTGGTCACATAGAGACCTGTTAAAACAGTACAGAAATAAATTTAAATTTTTTTTCTAAAAGACAACGTGGACCATTCTGTTACCTATTTCCAGGAGGAGGGTAAAAAGAAGGAAAATCAGGGAACAGAGGTCTAGAAAGATTCCTCTTTGATGACTTGAAGAAGGGAATCTTAGCAAATTACATTACAAGCAAGCAGCCTTCAAGACTGAGGGGCCTAATAAACAATAGTCACAATTTGGGTTAGGAGGCTGGAAGTCAGGAAAGTCTCCCCCTGAGGATATTCAAAATGAGCTGAGACTTGAAAGACTGACCAATAAGACAGGTGGAGGAAAGATGGGAGGGAGTGGTCAAAGACTGAGAAGAAATGAGCCTAGCACATTGGGGGACAGTAGTGGTAGGTTCATCAAGGGGAGCAGTAAGAGATAAAGCCAAAAAGAAAGACTGAGACCAATCTGTGAGAGCAAGACAGAATCGGGATTTCATCTTGCAGGTAATATGATGTGAATGAAAATTTCAGAGTGTAGAGTAGTATTTCAGAATTATTCATCTGCATGTGGACCTGAAACCTGGCTCTTAAAAGACCCAGAGTTCAGACATCAGGTTCTCAAGCTGTGCTTTAGTATAGAGAAAAATGTGTGCATGTGGACTTCATAAATTCACAGTTCTAATAAGAGCAGTCTTGGTTACCTAAAATGTAGAAAAGCTGGGATATACATATTGATTTTATATAGTAATGGAGTCCAATTTCTTTTTCCTTTCATCCTTTTACTTTTGTTAATGAAGTGTGAGCCTTGTCTGTAACTACCACTAAGTGACTGATGGTTTCCTTTATAAAAGCTATAGACTTTATTCAGAAGTGTGTCCTCAGTGTTGCTATGGGCCTAATAAATTATAAACCATTTTGCAAAAATTAAATTTTGCCTAAACAGTAGCCACTTTTAATAATAAGGTTGTCTAAAGTTAATACACAAACAAAGATCTCTGAAGGTGTTAACTATCTAGTAATTCTGGCTCTTCTGGATACAGCAACAGTACCCTACGAACTCAAGCTAGAACTCAGGTCTGTCTCAGGTGAGTATAAACATCGTATGAGTCACCTTGCAATTACAGCTGCCACCTGGAAGCATATTTCAGTGATGAGAACTACAAAGCTAAATCTCTGTAAGATCCTTTATTGGTCTTCCTCTCCCTTCTTCCAGTCTAAGGATCAATAAAGCTCAGGATTCTTTACTAATTCTTCATCAGCATCATTTTTTATTACACTTCTAAATTTAAAGAACACTGTCTCCAAAGGCCTCAAATTACTTTGAGTTATTAATATTGTAAATTTTAGAGAGATGTATTAGATGAGTACATGTTTCTCTTCCCACAGGGAAACCACTTCTGAGAAAGATTTTTTAAAATTTCTGAGAAAATGTTTGTGAATATCAGGTATATATATGCTCTCAACCACATACATGTAAATAATTGTTTAGGGGTAATGCAGACCATTAGCCAATGATTAAGATTCAGCCCAGTTCTTTTTTGCTGCATTTCTACATCCACATAAATTGGCATGTCACAGTGACGAAGGAGCCTCACATGTCACGTAAAACCTTCAGACCTGGATGTGAAACTGGAGCGTCCTAGGATGCATATTTTGGAGGCAACTGCGTATTTTGAAAGCAACTCAAAAAGCAGCTGGGCGGCAGAAGGAGGTGCTGGGCAAGTACCAAGAAAGAGTGCAGCCCCATCAGGAAAGTCCCTCCCCTCGTCTACACACACACAGCCTTCTTGTGACTTCTGGTCCCCATCAGATATGCTCCTATAGAATATTTCACCTTCCCAGGGCGGAGGACAGAGTGTCATCTGCTCATCATCTCGAACTTCCTGGGATGGCCCCGGGCACAGCAATCGTGTGGTGGCTCCTGACTGCAGAAATTCAAGTTTTTCCACCCTAAAACGAGGAGGCCGTTATTCCTGGTTTCAGTCCTGGCTGCCATTAAGCGAGTCGACAGGGGCCCACCACGACCCAGTGCCTGGAAGACCTCGCTACGAAACCCCGCCACCTGCTCGACCCCTACCTTCAACCCGCGACAGAACCTGCAGTCCCTCCGCACCTCCTACACTTGCAGGTCACCTCAGCGCACGCGCACGAACGCAACCCCGCCGCCCGTACACGCGCGGCCCGAGGGCGGCTGCGGACCTGCGGCGGCCGAGCGCTCCCCGAGCAGGGGCCCGAGCGAACCGGCGGCGCCGGC